TGCAAATACAGAAATGCATGCATGTCCAGTCAGAGTGCAGACTACTGGGTTTGCTGAATAGCCATGCAAACGTGTGTAGCCACACTGTGCATGGAGTTGGACCACAAACCGTCAAAATGCACTTTGCCTGCTGCCTTAGTATTATTTGGATATGTAAAGTGAAATAAGAATCTGTTTTAGATGGGTTAATTATTGCTGTTAAATGGCAGTACCAATTAGACCACCCCTATGCTAATAAAGCCACTGGCAATGGCATATGGATATGGCTGCATTGATTCTGGTTCAGAAGGCAGAGTGGTGTGTTTGCAAGGACTGCAACTGGGCACAGTAAGTTTGCCAAGTAGATATAGCGTGATGTAGTAGATACTCACTGGTTTGCCATATGCCAACAGTTGCCCCATCCCTGTCATACAACTTTTCAGTCAGTAACATTTTTACCACAGTCATGTAAATTGACTCCAACTTTGGATCCACATGAGTGTTGCCCAGTCACACACCACTTGTATGTGGCTTAATCCATTAGCCGACTGACAATGCTGTGGGGCATGCCTTCCAGCTCCTTTGATTCCAGAGATCCCAAATAAAAGTCTGGGATCAGATCCTACTCCACCTTTTATGTATCTAAATGTAATCTTATTCCACTCTGCTCAAGTACCTGGAAAAAAACTGATACAAAGGATGTGCATTTTCTCCTCCTCTGTATTTTTGTGACTAAGTCTTAAGGCTAAGACAACAGTGACAAACATGGATGCATTTGTGGAGTTTTAGGGACTGAAGCAGGTGGAATAAAATTGTAATTTAGCACATAAATCCACTTATACATCTAATACATGGAATAGGACCAAGCCATATATGCCTATTGGAAGATGGAATGCAAGAAAAAAGATGCCCTCTACAAATACCTTTCCTTCCCCTGCTTTAATTAGAAATTCCTAGTCTGTTATTGACAAATTAATCTCTGTTCATTATACCTTTGTGGGGGAAGCTTTATTTGTTTAGTAAATTGATACACATAGCTATGACTCTATGTAAGTAATAAATAATAATGTATTATGTATTAAAATACATTTTAAATAAAACAAATTTATTAATTATTTATTTATTACTAGGTACCAGGCCCAGGCTGCCTGGTGCAGTACAGGAGCCCCAGCCCAGGGCAGTGGGGGGATGGGGTGCAGTTGCCATAGGCATCCCTTTCTCCTTCCTCTAGCCTGTGTGCTCTGTGGCTGCCCTCACAAGCTGCAGCTGGTACAGCTACTGCACTCTGGCCCAGGTGGGATGGACCTTCTCCTCCTCCTGCTGCCCACAGCATGGCTTGGGCCAGAGCCACACTCTGTTTCATGCTGATGCGGTGGGGCATGGTGCTGGCCTTCCCCACTGTGCCGCAGCCCCAGCCCCAGCCCCAGCCCCAACCACAGCTGGTGTTGTGGGGCAGTATGTGGTGCCCCAGCTGCTGCAGATGCTTCAGCATGAAGTGTGCTGCATGCATCTCATGTGGGAGGCTGTCCCCACCATGTCCCCACAGACCACCATCCTGTGTGTCCGGGCAGGACAGGGTCAGCCAGGGTGGATAGCACCTGGGGCGCCCTCTAGGAAGTCTGGTGGGGGGCAGGGGGCTGCAGGTCTTCAGTGAGGGGCACCAGCAGGGGTGGGAGCATTGGGGGCTGTGGGTCGGGAGTGAGGGACACTGGCAGAGCTGGGGGACTGTAGGTTGAGAGTGAGGGGCATGGGCATGGCCGGAGAGGGTGGAAGATTGTGGTTTGGTAGTGAGGGTCACTGGTAAGGCTAGGGGTCTGCAGATCAGGAATGAGAGGTACCAGTGTAGACATGGGCCTGTGGGTTGGGAATGAGGGGCAATGGCATGGGCAGGGGAAGGGCACTGGCATATGAGGGCTACTTAGTGCCACAAAGCAGCAGGGGGACAGCTGCAGCTGGATCTGCATTTTGGTAAGTGAAGGGGGCACAGAGAGCTCTGATTTTCCAGGATAAAAAAAAACCAAAATCAAATGCCAAAATATGCAGGTACAGTAAAAGCTCTGTTATCTGGCATCCCCCAGGAATAGGGGATGCCAGATAACAAAAAATGCCGGTTAATTAAGTGGCCCAGGCCACCACTTCTCCCGCCATGTCTGGGGTATCCCGCCACCCCTCCTGCAGCATTGCTGACCCTCCCGGCGCATTGCCACCCCTCCCACACAGGGAGGCAGGTCCCGCACAGCCTGTTATGCCCCTAGGCCATGGGGGCTTGGCAGCACAAGCTGCTTTGCCCCAGTCCATGGCAGCATGGAGAAACCAGAAGTGCCATGGTGGGCACTTCCAGTTTCGCTTTATCTTGCAAGCCGGCATACTGGTTAATTGAGCATGCTGGCTTGTAAGATGCCAGTTAACAGAACTTTTACCGTATTTATAATTTATTTTCTTATAATGATTGAAGGGCTGGTAGGCTTCCAAATTGCTTTAAAACTGTAAATATAGCAATAAAACATTGTGTTAACTGATACCTATATATATAGTGATGTTTCATTTTAATCATGGAAAAACATTGATTTGGGCAGGGGGTTAATCAGACAATTTGGAATTTTTAAACATAGAAAAGCAGGACCACTGCTTATAACTCTGCTAGTCATGCTATTGAGAGTACAAAGAGGCTATTGAGCATCCAGTACCAATATATAATGTGGTGGTTTATGTTAAGGACTAAAAAAATTGCACCACTGACAGCTAACTACATCTTGGGATAAACTAAATATGGCAGGTAAGACATAAATGTGGTGCTATAGTCTTGTTACAATAGGAGAAAGTGCTTGGTTCTCCTAGCAGTCTCATATAGACCAAGATCTGTATGTTTCTCAGCACTGCTGCAGCTACCAGTGACCCGTCCCAGAGATGATTGGTCAGAATTAGGTCGTTTTACTGTTTCTCATGCTACAAACCCTGGTTTGGACATGGCTGGTTCTTGACAGATTAGCAGATTTCCATCATTCTGCTGTATTTCAAGCCCTCCTGGTATTTCAGAAGTATTTACCAGAAAGATTTATCATTTTATCTGGAAACAATTTACAGTGTAGTGAATTCAGACACATCTCACTAGCACAACTTTTCTTTTAAATGAAGAGTCAATTAAATTGATGTTTATTAAGGTCTGTCATAAGCTGTTTGAAGAGCAGTCTGCAATATCTTGTCTTGGGCTACAATTTTGAAATTCCTTTCTCTCTTATATTCCAAACCTCCATGTCAACTGATATTAATGTAGTCCTGACAAACTTGATGAAAGCTTCTTCAGAGCCTTGTGCATTTTCATATTTCTTAAATAGAAGGCACTTAAATAGAAGCAACTTCAGTCTAAAAAACTAGCAAATTTAAACACAAGATGCTGCTATTTTTTGTCATCTTCCATTAAGTCTAAAGTTGGGGACAGATTTCTATCCTAATGACTGTGCATCCTGCCAACTTTTTCTTTATAACTACTGGTATAGGGCCATTCTGGTGAGATCCTCATTCATAAATCTACTATTAAAGGAATAGTGCATAGAACAATCTTAGAAAATCTGTTTCTTTCATTCCTTTTCTCTCTCTTGATCATATGTAAAATCCCATGTAATTGCACTCTGTACTGTTACTTAGTAGGCCTTTAATTATGTCCTTTTGTTTAGCACACTGACCCTTGAGGCAGTTAGTTTCAGGTTATATATATATATATAATATGTCATCTACATAGTCCTGCTTACATATATTTACAAAGTAGTCACTATAGTTTAGATCAGTATTTCTCAACCCACGGGCTGCGAGTGTGACCCAAAAGTGGATCACAACAATATATGAAAGGGTCTCGAACAAACTTAAAAAAATGGATCAACAAACTTTAAAAATGGATTCTCCTTTAAAGGAGAAAAATGTGAGAAACTATGGGCTTCCCCTTGCAGGCTGGTAGAGTGGCACTGGGGGAGCAGGTAGAGGGCAATCAGGCAGGGGGTGCCACACGCATGTGTACATGCACACATGCACATGGTAGCCAGGCAGCATGGAGAGCAGCTCCTGCAGCTCCCTACAGGTAAATCTAGGGGGGGAGGGGCATAGATAATGGATCAGGGGGTGGGGGGACACAGGCATTGTGTTAGGACGGGGTCTGTGGAGCCATGTGCTCCCCCACATTTGAGCACCCACAGCAGGCACAGGGCTGAAGCCTAGCCAGACTGGCATGGGTAGGAGCCACCTCTGCAACCCAGTGGGCATGACCCAACACAGGAGGGCAGGGCGGGGAAGGGAGACTCCTTGTTGCCATCACTGGGACCCCTGCATCAGCTGTGCTGCCAGCAGCATGAGGAGTAACAGATGGGGTTGGGAGCATACTGTCCTCACCTCCTCCCACTGCCAGTTACTTGCATACTGGGCTGCGTCTCTACCCTGCTATCATGGCCTGGCCACCGCTGCCACTCCCCTCAGGCTGCAGCTTTACCACAGAGGAGAGATGGGGTGGGAGGCAGCATGGGTGGCCTGAGAGGAGTAGTAGTGGAGTAGTACCCTTTCTGCTGTATTGGGTCCCTACAATGTGTACCTTTCTTTAGGATCACCAAATTTAAGGGCTTCAACTTAGCAAAATTCTTCTATGTGAGCAGTTATTATGATATTATATTTTATAATCACTACAACAGAGTTTGTGAGAAAACACAGTAACCCATTTTGCATTTATGCTTGTTCTAAATAAAAATCTTGTTTAAATGAATGTTTTCAATGCATTGTACTCTTCACAGATAAATGGTAAATCAGATGCTTATTTGGATACTTAAAATGGATTCTATAATAACTGTGGAAACTACTACACACATTTTTATGCACATCTTAAAACAGGCATACCACAAATGGTTAAAACATCATTTGGGCTCTAAGATGTGCTCTTTATGGGCATCTTCTGTATGTGCTACATGATTATTAAAATAGGAAATAGACAAAGGAGCTCAAATGTCATTTCAGTTACATTGAACTTCTGTATTTACTTTTAGATTACCGACATAATGGGAGAGACCTTCAGAGTTCAACACTATCAGTGCCAGAACAAGTGATGTCATCCAATCATTGCTCTCGGTCAGGGTCCCCTCATCGTGGAGATAGTATAGGACGGACTAGGTCATGGTCTCCTAGTGTCCCTCCTCCACAAAGGTAAATCATTGCACAGGTTTAATGCCTGCAAGGTGTAAAATGAAGTGCTGTTGGAATCTGTGAGGATATCAGAGATAAATATGCACTGCACAAAGATAGTGAGTGGCAGATGCATTGGTTTGCTATTATGAAATAATACTAATTTATAAGTTATACTAATTTATAAGTTATATTTTCTTGTTATTGGTTTGATCAGAAGTACAATACAATACAATCTGAAACAAGAGTGGGGTTTTGGGGGGTTTCTAAAAATTATTTTCTACCTTGGAAAGACATACAAGGTTAAATGTTTATGATTAATCATTTTGTCCTTTAAATCAGTTTGGTAATGGCTATTTTATACTACTGTCTCTATGCATGAATAAGCTCTGGAAATTTCAAAGGTCCTTTTGTCACTAGTTTTTCTGACATGCCTGAAACAACAAAAATACATTAACATTTTTACAACCACACTTTTTATATAGGAAATACAATTTTTTTTTCCATGGGAAGTCTCTGAATATTATATGTGCTGTGGAAAAAAAGATCAGGTTACTTTTTCTGTACTCCAGCCATTTAAGGTAATGCCTCCTAGAGGACTCAAAATACTCTTAAAGAATAATCTGGTTCAGCATGGACAGACATTACCTTCATGAGAGTTTTTCTTTAGGAGACAGAAAATTGGATGTATAAAATGGATTTTTTGTTGGTGTTACCAGTATCTAGGACCAGTCTTCAGCTGCTGTGATTCAGCAGAGCTCTACTGAAGCTGGAGTGAGAGATAGATATATGTATGCTTTCTTCCTAGAGCCATGCTATTTTTCTTTATTTCTATTTTCCATTTTAATAATTTAAAACTAATTTTAACCTATTGATATTCTATTCCTTTATATAGTGATTCACTTTTTTCCTCACTAACAATACAGACTACTTTCCTCCCAATTATCAATAGGCAGGTAACATCATATGTATGTTATTATACACTAGGGCTGTGTGAAATTTCGGCAGCCATTTTGTATCGGAGGTGTTTCAGCCTGTTTTGGCACCTGAAACACCAACTCTGAAATGAAACAGAAGTCTCCGAAACATCTCCGAAATGAAACAAAACCATCCAAAACGTTTCAGAGGTTTTGGATGATTCGGAGCCGGGCTTGTAGGGAATGATTCGGAGCCGGGCTTTGAGGGAAATGGAAACTAAGAAGAGGGACAGAAGGGCTGCTCTGATATTGATATTTGTAGTTGGCCAGTGTCTGCAACCTGTCCCTGAGGTCCCTTCCAATCCCAGTGCCCTGGGGTCAAGATGGCAGCTTGCTGTCATCCTGCTTGCAAATTCGGGGGCCAACACCCCCGGGGAAGAGTCTGGCACAGCCCTGTAGCCCTCCTGGGGGGCATGGGACCCTGGATTTGTGCACTGGATGACAGAATGCTGCCACTGCTGACTGGGGCCAGCGCCAGCACCCAAGTCTGCTCGGTGCAGCCTGTGCTGAGCACAGCCGGGGGAGCCTCAGGAGAAATCCCCATGGCTTCCCTGACTGGTCCCATCCCCCTCCTGGCACTTTAAAAAAAAAAAGCCCACACTCACCACCTATAGCAGGGGCTCTGGGGCCACATGGCAGAGCACCCCCATACAGCATCCATTCCCCAATCTCCCCCCCACCCAGTCCTGCCACTGATGGGCCTCCCACACCTGGCCCCAGCATCTCAGAACTTAAAAAAAAAAAGCCCCGCACTCACCCTGCCCTGCCAAGCTACGCTGCACCTACACCATGGGCAGCTGCTGCACAGGTACCAGGTTGGGGAGAGATCCCCGCTGCCCCCCACTGCCCTGTGCTACACCTGGGGGCTCTGCCATGAGCCCTTAGAGGCCCCGATCACCACTGCCAGAGCTGGTGACTGTAGAGCTTTTTTTTTTTTTAATTGCTGGAACAAGGCTGGGGCTGGGCAGGGGCTGGGACCAGGCAGAGCAGCCATGGGGGCTTCTTCCACAGCTCTTCCCCCTCACCCCCGGGAGAGGCAGGCACAGCTGGAGGAGCTAAAGGAGAACCTTCAGCAGCCTGGCTGAGCTTGCCGTTCCCTGGCTGATCCAAATCTCTGAAACAGTGTCAAAACAGATTCTGGAACAGACTTGGCCAAATTGAAACAGAGCAGTGATCCAAAACACTGAAACAAATCACTGTCCTCCAAAACAACCAAATCCAAAATCAAAATGAGACATAGCCATTTCGCATAACCCTATTATACACCATCACACAAAAGTAACTGATTTTTGGTTTGCACATAAAAATCCAATAAAAGATATATGACACTAGTATAAATAAAACCTCACTTAATAAGTCTCTAAATACATGCAGACTGGGACTTAATTTGATTTTAGTTATACCACATTAAACTAGTATCATTCTATTAACTTTAGTGAGGTTACTCCTGATTTAAACAGGCATAAATGTAGTCAGAACCAGGCTCTGTGTGTTTCTATATGCATTAACCAGAGTTGTAGGGTAGATCTGTAGTTAAGGCTGCTTGAAGCTTTCCATTATAAGATCTTTTTTTCAGTTGCTTATAGCTTTGCCCAAGTGTGGCGTTTTGCGCCCTTCGTGCTGCCCGGCCTGTCGGGGTGTAGCCCCTCCCCTTGACTCGCCTGCCATGATTTTGATGAAAAACAACTAGGAGAGGGGGTTTTTCCCAGTGGAGATCTTCCCAAGGGGCTCTCCCAACAGCCAGTAGTACTTACGGTTGTTTGGCGTGATGTTCCATGGGGCTCCACCTCCCCTACACCCTGTCCACTCGCCAACCGGGTGGATGTCAGTCAATAATGATCTTTGGCCCTGTAGGGTGGCCCAGGGCCTGCCTTCTTGGTTGTGGTGGCTTTTTACCCCTTCTCAGGGTTTATCTTAATTAAAAAAAAAATTCCCCTGTGGAGGAGAGGGCTGCAGAGCTGCCTCCTCTACCCCTGCCTCCTCCAGGGGGCTCAAATGCTTCCTCCCTCCAGCTGTCTGCAAGGGACTCCCCTGCCTCCTTGGCCTCCACTTCTGCCGGGAGCTGGAGAGATGCCCCTGCTTTGCTTCCAGCAGGGGGCTTAAAGATCTCCCTGGGGTTGCCTGCGGGAGCTGCGCAGGCTGTGTCGCTCCCTTCCCACGCCGGAGCCGCAGCATGCTCAGTGAGCTGCTGGCCCGCACCCTCCTTCTCCGGCTTTCCCCCCACCCTAGTTCCAGCGGGGATTTTAAACTTTCCCGCAGCGGCCGGTACGGCCGCTGGGATTGGTCCAGCTGTTTCCTGCGCTGGAAACAGCTGATTAAACAGCCGGCATAACACCGGTTCGCGCGGCCGCGGCTGCGCTCGCGGTTCCTGTTCCAGCTGCTGTGCGGGAGGTGAGTCATCCTTACCAGGGGTTCTGCTCCTGGGGTATGGGGCCTGCGGGGTCTGCTCTCTCCCCTTCAGGAGCCTGTGGTGGTGCCTCGCCGCCACACCAAGATTAACTACTTAATCTGAATTATTTTCATGATTGCTGTCTCTCCGGTTGTCTTTTTTAAAACTTTCAGCAAAAATGGTTCAGCCATTTCTTAGATTGAGTTAGGAATAAAATATGTAGTTTTACACATCATTTTCCCTATTTTTTTTAATATTTAACTTGAAACTTGGTAGAGGCATAGTCCTGGTGTTGAAGAGATGCCTTTTGTTGGCCTAATAGGAGTCTAATTTGTCCAAATAATTAGCCTCTGATTATCACCATGTCCATATGATAACTGCAAGTTTAGTTTTGCTGTTAAGATCATTCTGTCTCCATTGATCATGGTATAGACCTGAATAACTCCTTATATGACATTTGTAATGAGCTACCTACATCATAGACTAGAGGTCTGGGCACAAGATTCAGAGGCAGAAGTTACTAGTACCCAAGAGTTATAGTTTCAGTTCTTCCACTGGCTCACTTTAATAACTATGTATACTTTGCCATGCTTATAACTGAACAATGTTTCATGCTAACAGACAAAAAGTATCCCCCTGAAGTCCTATTTTAGTAGCATAGCAATGGAGAAAGTGCGTATGGTTATTTCTGGTACAAGGGGGTTTAGAACAAAAATCTGTAATGTAGTAGACAAAGTCTGTTCTGCCATATTTATACAATAGGCTGTGCTATAAAAAGGCCAGGAATATAACTTAGTATTCCTGCCTTCTAACATTTCTGTGAGATACCCTAAATGTCTGTGAGGGATATGGTAAAGTATGTTGTTGTCTAATTGCTTTTTCATATAAGGGATAAGAGTCTGTTATGGTTCCAGTTATTCCTTTAGCTTAAGTGCAAGAAATTTTATTACTCTTAAGAATTCATACTGTGGTACTACAACTTGGTTGAGTCCCATTGTGCTAGGTACAAGCCTGTGCCACTCTGTTAGCAAAGGTCATCTTGACAAATATAATGGATCAAATCACTTTGTCCACTAAAATTGCAATATTTCTGGTGCAATAGTGATGTAGTTTTTCTCTGAAATATTGAAAGGCATTATGCCAGAAATTTACCGTGAGGCTTAAAATTGTGTGGCAATACAAGACATTTATGTTAATGCATCTTATGGCTGACATTTCATTAACAACTAATTTTATAAGTCAGTAAAAAGGACATGGTTCACTACCCTCCATTTGTTGTTGCTTATTTCCACAGTAGGAATGTGGAACAGGGACCTCGAGGGACACGATCTACTCCTGCACATTATAATACCATGAACCGAATGGATAGACATCGTGGATTAGATGACCACTACTCCCCAGACAGAGAGAGGTAAATATAGTGCAGGAATTAGAAATGAGTTTATATGATAGGCATAAAAAATAAAATATTTCAATGCATTATAATATTCCTAAAATTAAGTACACTAAAGTAAATAATAGAAATACCCTGCTTTGGTTTGGTATGATATAAATGTATCCAAAAATCAGTGTACACATGACTTTCAGAACTGTCACGTTATTTTTCTTCTTCTGAAGAGAAAATGCAGCTCTAAGAAAAATCTGTTATGCAGGTGGCAAATGGATTCACTGCATTTTGGCTGTGTGTAGACAAAACGAGGGGCATATGTGCACAAAACTTTAAAGTGGGCTAAATGCTTTTGCACCACTTTAAAGGTGTTGGTGTTTGCACACCTCGGTGGTGTATTGTGCGTTAGGTAGTGTAATGCACCTTAAATGACTTGGGGCACAGCAAACTAAAACTCCTTCAAGGTGTTTTAGTTTGCTGCCCTATCTACCATCCGCAAAGCAAAACACCAGGCTCTCTGCAGCTCAGGGGCTCTGCAGGAAGCCCATGCAGGCAGCCTGACAGCAGCTCAGGAAGGCAGGTTCCACCCAGGAGAGGGAAAAAAAAAGTGGCGAGCCTGATCTTTCTTTTTCCCCCCCTAGAGCCTGCCTGCCTGCCTGCCTGAGCTGCGTGGGGTCCGGTGCTTCCCTCCATGGCTGCAGTGCCCCCTGGGACTGCCTGAGCTGGGTGCCTGTGGGTGGGTGCCACCTGGATGGGTGGGTGGGGGGGTGTAGCTGCTGGGGAGGGAAGGACCAGCACCCCTCGCCGCAGCCCAGGGACCTCTCTGCCTGCTAGCAGCTCGCTCTCCCGTCCCTGCCACCAGAGAGGCAGGTAAGTCAGGTGTATCCATGACACGGGTGTTTAATTGGTCCTAAAATGAAGTGGTGTTTTTAAAAACCCACCGCTTCAATTTAGGGCCCCCGTTTTGTCTACACATGCCTATAGTCATTTTAACTATTTTATATTTTAACAACAGTGTTTACTGTATTTTTAAGGACTCTAAACTGATGGCTATTTTGAAAAATATGTTCCACTAGTCTTAGTTGGTGATCTATATAAAGAACATATAAAGGACATACTTTGCACTCAATATTTATGTAAAACTACTATTGAGTAGTAGGCATCTGTCTGTCTTGTGAGACAATATAATTATGCAAAATTAGACATCAACTTGCTGAATGTAATCCTTACTTGAAAGATAAAGGTAAGCTGGAGTGAACTCTCTGGGGCGCAAAATGGTTGAAGTAAAATGCGCATAAGTAAAGTAGAATATAACACTAACCATTCTTATCTGTTCATAGCTTTAGGAACCATTTACTAATAAAAACACTTGTATTGGCACTGTAGTGGAGATGAGAGTTGAATTCTGTGTATTTAGCTTTCATATCTTACCACGATACACATTTTTGCCTAACAGAACTTTGTAAATTGTGAGCTGAGATGTACTAACCTATTGGAATTTTAATGGAGTAGAAGTGAGTCACAGGTCATAGTTTGCTAAAATAGCTAAATTTGCTGCATTACCTCAGGTATTTTCTGTCAGTTGTTACAAATAAAGATTGGGTGTTTTCTACCTCATTGACTCTGGATCATGTAAAGAACCTTTCTGTTTGCAATATGCCTCTATTTATAAATCCATTTTATATATCAAGCTGGCAATATTCCCTTTGAATTATACAAGTAAGACTGCTGAATCCTACAGTACTTCTTATTTTCAGATATCAATTAGCAATACTGGTATATTTTCCCATTTGCACTAAGCATGTTTTTCTAGCTCTCATGTAGTTGCTGTAATTACTGTATACCAAGGTAATATATTCGTACAGCTGATTACTACAGACAGATAATCCCATAAGTAACATCAAAAGTACATAATTGAAGTTGTTAATGAACTATTTTTTATAGAGAATCAGTGGTTTGATTACTGATATACTGAATAGAAAAGATAATTGTGTTTTAAAAGATTAATTGTCTTGTTAATAAATGCAAGTGAGACACGAAAATCTTTAAACAGACTGCAAATCGTAATTTATTTTACTGTTATATTTTTTTAGTACTTCATATTAGAAAAAAGCATTACTCGCAGTAACCAAAACAGAACAAACCTGTAAGTTGGTTGGGGGGAAAGGGAGAAAAAGGGAATGAAATGCAACCAAAATGTTTTCATCTTAAATTTTAACTGTATCACTTAAGCTGTAAGTAGTTCATATAGTTGTGTAGTTATCTTTCAACATATTTTGTGTTAAAATCTTTGCTACTTTCATACCATTACTACAGGAGAGATGTTACTTAGTTGGCTAGTTAGGCCAATTTACTGATTTCTAATGTCATAAAACAGTGAATTGAGAAATCTAATTGATTATTTTTTCACTTAAAATAAATCAGCATCCTTGCAAGAGTTATAAATTTAGATCAATAACCCTTAAAACTGTGGATTTAGATTTGTATGTATCCCTTTGGAGAACACACATATTTTGCAGAGTCTGCTTTCCCTTTACTACCTTTTCTTTC